ATATGTTCTGTTTATTTTTTCATTCATTAATTTATTAGTAATAACAAACCCGTTAGTATGATTAAAAGCTTTTGTTGTTTGATTTAATACTACTAGAAGTATCTATAGGTTTTTCTTTGAGAAAAATCTAGGCCTACAAATGTATAGTCTTGGATGAAATTGGACCAATTCTGGATGAACGAATGGATTCATTATTTTTCTTTTGATTTTGAGGAATAGTAGTGAAGGTGTTTGGACTTGGGGAAAGTGTAGCAGTGGAATTGGTTGTTGGCTTGGTGAAGTGTAGCAATGGAGTTGGTTGCTACCATTGATGCCAAAGAAATGGGAGAGAGAGAGAGAGAGAGAAGAAGAATAAGAAGAAGGGTGTTGTCATTGGTGCTATGTTTTGGTCATTGCCTCTACTTCAGTCACTTGAATTCGAATTGGATAACGAATGGAAAGTAGCAGTAGTTGTAGGCTTGTACCAATGAGGGGAGAGAGAGAGAGACGCTTACCTGTATGAAATAAGCTTAAGACAATGAGGATAGTGAGAAGAGGTAGAGGAATTTCGTCTAGTGGGAGAGAATAAAATTTGGGTAGGCTTTTTAAGAAAGGGCTTATTGGTTCTAAAATGTTGAATTTTTTAAAACATAACTGAATTTGCCAATTTGCTAAACTTATTAACTTTTATGCAAAAAGCCCATTTCAGAATATATATTTTGAAAGGTAAAGCAAATACTTCTATTTAGGCTCAGTTTGGAAAGAGTACAAATACAAATATGTATTGTGCAAATACGTATAAAATACAAGGTTTTGCACTCACACACACACACACACATATATATATATATATATATATATATATATATATATATTTGGACTCCTTCGAAACTGAGCCTAGGCTGTGTTTGGTTGCAGTGCAATTTTATTTGCACAGTACAAATGCATGGGGTGCAAATAAAAAAAAATGCAAATTCTCATTTAATTTTGTTTTGGGTTTTACTTTATTTTGCTTCATGTGTACTACTATCAAACAAGATTAGTTAAAATTTGAAACAAAAATAGGTTAAAATTTACACATAAATCATTTGCATTGCCATACTTTTGCATCAGTGCAAATTTATTTGCATTACAGCATTAAGGACATAGTTTAGTTGAAAACTTTTACGGTTTGAACTAAGTTAACAAATATATAGAGCTGTCAATGGGTCAAATCTGGGTTGGGATAGGGTGTCCCAGTCACAAATGATTACAAATTTGAACAAAATCATAGACCCAAACTTCTTAATTAATAATCGGGTTTGACCCAATAGACCAAATTATACTGATAGTTATAATTATGTGTAAATAATAACATAAAACTTGACTTTTGATAATTTAACCTTTAAAAATGACAGTGAAATAGTAAATTATTTATATGTTAATAAATAAAGTGTTCTTAACTAAATTTATCTTATATATTATCTATCAAATTTACCATGTGAGACATAAAATGTAATAACAATTACAAAAAAATTGAAATTTTTTATAATAATATTAAAAAATGATCGATTTGGATCTAAACCAGTTCGCAACAACCAAGAACCAGAACCCAATTATTAATTGAAATAAAATCAAATAGCCAGAACCAATATAATTGGTTTGGTTTGATTTGATAAATCAGGTAGAACCGACCCATTGGCAGTCATATTTATATTCTTTCAATTTTTAATTTTTAAGTTGTAATAACTAGCGATGAATGAAAATTTAACAATGATCTTCCTAGAAACAAAATTATAGCGAGTGCTACAACACCCAATGGAATTTGAAAACTAAACATGTAAATTGTTGATATACCCACATATAACTGACATGCTTATCCTTGCCCACGAGAACTCCGCCCACGTCTATTCATAACACACTACCCCGTGAATTAGGAACATCTCCCCCTATATAATACTACGTAGGAGGATAAAATGTTCATGTGTGGCTGCGATGTTATGTGGGTAAACGTAGGTAGAGTTTGTGTGGGCAGGAGATCCGGACTCATATGTTTTACGCATTTTGTAATAACGATATTGTTCGATCTGGGTTTGGTTCTTAGGTCGAACAGCTTGACTGTCCAATTCGAACAAATGGCCTACTTTGACAAAAAAATAAAAAAAAAAAGAAGCAAAAAATAACCAAAAACCGTTGTCAAGGTTGACAGTTTGACGGCCCAGGTCAACGGTCCACTAACCAAATCAATGGTTATTAGCAAGGATTAAGGCATCGATACAATACTCCTAATACAAGGCGTGACGTATCCGTATCCATGATCATGGATACATGATACACTATGACTAGATATGTATCATACGAGCAAGGTTCAAATTATCGTTACATATCGGCTCGTATTGGCCAATACGTATCGTTATGCGACCCTTCTGATACACCCCTACAGTGGATGTTTCGGGGGTCTAACCGGTTCAGGGGATGGAGGGGTCCTAGACCGGCCCCCCTGAACCAGTTTTGAAAAAAATAATAAAAAAAAAGGTAAAAAAACGAGTATCGATTTTGAACCTTACCTATGAGTCGTGTGTATCGGTACGATATGCCTTCGTATCAGGCCGTATTGCACTGTATCGGTGGATACAATCCGATACACCGATACGGAGGCATATCCGTGTCTAGTTTGAAAAAATTGTACATTGAGTACTTTTGGATTATTTTTCATCTTTAATACTAGCTAAAAAATAGTATTATGAAAACTGAAATAAATAATTTAAGATTTAATTTTTCCAAAAAATTAATAAAAACTAAAAATTATAAAAATAATATATTTCATCTACCTTAGATGAGTTATATATTTTATTTTACACATAATTATATGTTAAAAATAAAAGCATAGTTATTATTTGAAAAAATAGTTATTATATAAAAATACTAAATAAATACAATTTTCCAACAAAATTAATGGAAAACAGAAAATTATAATTATAAAAACTGAAACGAATAATTTAAGATTTAAGTTTGCCAAAAGATTTATTAAAAACTGAAAATTAAATATAATTTATTTTATCTACCTTAAATGATTTATTTGTTTTATTTTATAATTATGTGTAAAATAAAAACATTATTTGTTAAAATGAAAACATATTTATTATTTAAAAAAACAGTTGTTATTTATAAGATTCTAAATTAATAAATATTTCGAAAAATTAATAAAAATTGAAAATTATAATTATAAAATTAAAAGAATGATAATTATTGTACAATGTTTGAATGTTTTAGAGTCCTAGTATTGTTTATTGTTATATTTCTCTTCATATAACCTATTGAAGTATGCATTTCTCATGTCTTTATATCTTATTCATAGATAATTCAGCTTTTGGTTTAGTATTATTTATGTATTTATGTAATTTGTATGCATTTCACTAGCGTATCCAAGCATTTCTATATCTTTCGTTCGTATCCATGCATTTCTAATGCGTATCTGTATCCATATTTAACGTATTCGGTACGATACTCGATACCGATACTTTGATCCTTGGTTATTGGCAAAAAAGCGATTTTTAAGTAAAACAAAACCGATCAAGTGATCATTCTCGGTTTTTCTGGTTGGGTTGTGTGGTCCAGTCCGATTTTAGAAACCATGATGTTTAATGTCATAAGATTGAAATCCTTCGCTAAAAAAACAAAGGATTGAAACCCAACCCGTATGGGGCTGGGCCCGGGCCAGAGCCCGTAAGTATAGTCGTATAGATGCTAAGCCAGCCTCGGCCCGGCCTATAAAAATTGGATCTAATTCATTTAACTCGCAAGCATAATAGTTAATTAAGAGTAGTGCTGACGTAATCATAGAGACTACCGTTAGTTAGATGTTGGAACCGAATCGGAGAGAAATATATCTCCCAATAAAATTCAAAACCCAATTACCATTTCCATTCCTACAATAATATCTCTCTCTCTCTCTCTCTTCTCGGCTTTTACTGTCACTTCAGTCTCTGTTGCTACCTCCGTGAGTCGATTTTTTGGTGCTGAAGGCTTGTTCAACCCGAAGAGAGTATTCAACTTGATAATCTGAAAACCTGTTAGTCCTTTTCTTTTTTCTTTTTTGTTATTCATGATTATTATTTTTGTAGTTCTGGTTAATTTTGGTGAAAACATCTAAGTTAGTATAGCCTAATAAAAGTTATATTTTCGTTCTTGCATTAAAGTTTCTTCTGTGTCTCCAACCTCGAACAAATTTAGGGTTTTTGGTTTTGGTTGCGGCACTAGTCGAAGCAGAGGCACAGAACCAAAAAACTTAGTTGTCTTCGCCTTTCCTTTTTTTTTTCTTCTTTATTCATCAAATCTTGTTGGTTTTTGAGTTTTCTGTGGTCATCGTAAAGATTTCTTGGGTTTGGAGATGGGAATCTAAGATCTGGAGGAAACACCTATATGGATTTACAAGAGAGTTTCAATTTCAAAGTAGATTTCAAGCGAGCGAAGACATTGTTGCAGAGGCTTAACAACTAGCGGGGCGCCCTCGTTGAGTTAAATTTCTGTTTGGGTTTCAGATTCGGACATTTAGTCTCACCATAACGTATGAAATTCTCTAAGAAAATTAATATTAGATATTGGGTTTTGAAGATGCAGAGATCTCATTGGTCTTGATGGGGTTTTTCTTTCTGACAAGTGACGAGTAGACAGAGGATTTTGTAATTTCTAATTTGGGTTAGAGAAAAGGTTGAAAATAACAATTTGAGGCTTGTATTTGTGAAACCGATGTTCATTTCCAGTGATGTTATTGGTTTTGAGATTTATTTTGTAGTTGGTTCCTTTTGTCTGAGACTCTGAGTTGAGATATAACCAATGCTTTGATAGTGTTTAGGAGTAGCTGGTAAGGAATGACTTATAACTAAGGATTTATAGAGAATTGAATTGCCAAAGTGGGTTTAGAAATTGGAAAATTTTGTTGATTGTTCTATTTGTTTTGTGTGTGTGTGTTTGAAAATGTTAGGGTGGACGCTATTGGATCGTGGATTGATGAGGTACAGTCAGCCATATGTTTCTAGTGCAGATGACCTCGAGGATAGTACATGCTTAAGAAAATCATCTTCAATTTCAAGGGCTTATATGTGGATTATTTGTTATGGAGAATGTTTATTGAACCTCCTATGGCTGTTTTTGTTTGCTTTGGTGATTGGCAATGCAATTTGATATAGCTGTTTAGGAGGATGCCCTTGTACCTTGGGATGGTGGGTATTATTTCGAGTTCTGTGGTTTTTTTTACAAACGTTTTTAGTATGGGAGGAAAATGTAATGGGAAATGGGAAGTGTTGACTCCTTATGCTGCTCCCAATTGTTGCCACTCTTGGGCTTCTCTTCCTTTGTTTTGCTTTGTTTTGTTTTGTTTTGTTTTGTTTTATTTTTATTTTTTTGTTTTTTGTCAGTGTGTGTGTTTTTACCTTCAGGAGGACTTTTATTATTTGATGATTCAATATTCCATCCAATGTTGCAGCTAGTGACGATGACTGTGAAGTGGCTATATGATTACTATTATCATAAAAAAAAAATACTAAAAGGGCAGCTCAGTGCATGAGTCTGTTTCCAAGATTTGGACCCTGGTCACCCAAGTCGCAATGGAGCAGCCTAACCATTGCACCAAGGTCCACCCTCGCTAACATAAAAAAGTACTATCTTTATATCATTTAAACAATTTCTCCAATTGCAACATCTTACTCAGAGAGAATCTGATTTGATCATATGATACGAAGCATATCAGTCTTCCTCTGCTCTTCATCTTTTCTTCTTTGCAATTGATTTCTACTGAAATCTCTATTTAATGTAGTGTGATTTGATGTAGCTAGGATTTAGGTTCTGGCATCAAGATTTCTTTTGTACTTCCAAACTTAAAATCATGGTCGTTAGTTGTTTTCTTGAGGTTATAACTTTTATACAAGAGTTTCTTAGTATTGACTTGCCTAATAATTTAGTTCTTTCTATTGGATTTTGTTTTTGATAGGTAACCTCAATTCATTTCATTAATATAAAGAAATATGTACAATAAGGATCCAAGAAAAGGGGTAAAAAACCCCCTAGAAAACAGCAATTACAAACTGAGCCCAGTAGAATTGCCCCTTATTTACCCCTTGCTTAGGTAAAGAATTAGCCAGTCCATTTGCATCCCTTGGAGCCCATTGAAATAGTATTGTCATTTTTTTTTTCTTTTTTTGATAGCTAACTTTAGAAAAAATTTATTATGAAACAGAGAATATATATACATACAACCATCCCAAAGAGAGATACAACTAAACAGAGAATATATATACACATCCCACCACTTGAGTGGAATTTAGATAGTGGGATCTGCTAAATATCTTTTTTTTTTTTTCTTTTCCCGTATACTTTTATTGGATCTTGGTGGCTTTAAGATGGGACTGAACTGAAATCTGAAATGTAAAACCTTCGCTACCCTCTTTTGGAAACAATACCCAATATAGAGCCAATGAATGGCAAGTCCACACCAAACCAATAACTCTTGAAGAATTTTAAATTCCATTACCACACAAATACAGCATCATCAACAGAAGCCATGGAAAAAGTTCATTAATGGAAGTTCAGCAATCACAAAAGTCAAATTTCAGAATTAAGCCACATGAGTTCATGTAGGATTTCAGTAAAAGGAGACTCATTTCTCCTACATAGTGCAGACATTTACGTACGATCTTTTCTTTCATTGTTGTTTACAACTTTTTTTAATTGTCCATACCTTCACCATTTGTCATTATCTTTGGTTCATTCTGGTTCATTCTCCATATTCACCATTCTGGTTTTCGTAGCAAAGGTTTCAATACAGTCATTTTGAACAGAATGTGGGAATGGGGAGAGTACTTCAACAAGGTGGGAGCTAGCACAAAAGTTTCTTCTCTGTTTTTCTATTCCATGTCACAAATCTCATTGGTCTCCTCTAGTTTCTCACTTTCTCCTCTGCAATGCTTGTGCTTTCTTGTCCTTAATGTGTATATCTCTTCCAGGTGACAACATCTCCTGATTTCTCCTCTGTTGTCTCCTTACCTAGGAAGCTTGAAGGAGTTGGTTTCAGCTAGGATGGCTCCTGACTAGAAGTCTATACACTCATTGAAATAGATGATGGTGTGGTGTTTTGGAGAATATATAGTGGGCAATTTTTTTTTGATCGATAATATAGTGGGGAATTTAAAGGTTCTAAAAAGATTGAGAACTGGTTATCTGACTTTATTTGATGCTTTCTGCTTTTAACAGTGGAAGTACATAGGGAAGAGAAACAAGAAGCATAGGAGAAGAGATGGTTGCTGGTTAATCACTTTTGACATGACAGCATTTGAACTGGACTTGAAGAAAAATCATTTATTCAGATGCACTGGATCCGGAGTGATATATAAGTGATCATGCAATATATTGTGTTGTATCTAGTAAGTATTCTGTTTGAACTTGGTATGGTAGGGATACTAGGGGTGCAGCTTGGGTACCCAAACTGAAGATTTTACAGTTTACATTACATTGCCTTGGGCTTGGGTCCATTCAAAATGTAACTTAGCATATATTGCATGGTCACTTATACAAGTTTCAAACTTATCATATACAAATATGAGAGCAGGATGGACAAGATAGAGGGGTGCATATACAAATGTGATAGGAGAGTACCGCATTGATTAAAAGAAAAAATTTGTAAAATGAGCAGTGTTGTATGGAGCAACGTTGGCAAATCAAGACAACATGTACAAAAATGAGTGTGGTGGGAATGTAAACATTGATATGGATAAGTGGGAAAACTAGAAAATATAAGGTTCGAAATGAGCTTTTCTGAATGAATCTAGGATTAGTTTCAATAGGTAATAAAATGCAGGAAAGTAGAATAAGAAGGTTTATTATGTGCAAAGAAGACCATCTACAGAATCAGTAAGAAGAAGTGATTTGTTACAAGTTCTTGGGGCTAGAAGAGCTAGGGATGAAGACATGGGTTGAAGTTGTGAGAAATCATTTAAGGGCCCATAATTTATCAATGGATATTGCATTGAACAAAATGGAATGGCAGCATAGGATTCACGTAGCTGATAGGATATTGACATTGAAAAAAAAATAAAACAACTCTAGAAGTTTATCAATGTGTAATCCTTTGATGCTCACTACATATATAGTGGCAATTAGTAATTGTCTATATACACAACTTAGTCTGATATGACATCTTTGGAAGCACCAACACAATTGGACCAATGAAAAACTTTTATCATGTTTCAACATATTCAATAGACCCTGGGTGTGATTTCTTCTAGAGGATTGTCTCTAGGTTACTAAGGCTACTGCCTAATCTTGGACTGGGAGTTGAAGGAGATAACAACCCTTTTATCGAAGGTTGAACTTACAAGATCGGAAGTTGAAGGAGATAACAAATCTCTTATCCAATCTCCAAGGCTGCTGCCCAACCTTGGGTGTGCTAGACCAAAGGATTTGGAAGTGGAAAATTGATGCTTCTCTTCTCTACTTTTTCACAACACAGTCTTAAAAATAAATGGAAACTATTGAAGTCGTAATTGTTAGTGATAATGAACCCCACTTGAAATGAACTTTCCACCACCTTAAACACCAAAGAACTCTAACAAGGCCAAGAAAGTTGAGCCAAACATATTTAATACTAGAACCTTTGCTGAATTCAAACAATAAATACCCAAAAATTGACTTGATGAGCTACTAGCTACAAGGGCCTAATTTTTTAAGATGTTCAAGAATATTTACTTATTGGGAATTTGATAAGTATGACAGATCCATGCTTTTAATTAGTGTAGAATTCAATAATTGAAAGATTTTATAATAGTTCTCTTAACAATTTAATAGCAAGTTCAATGAACATATAATAAACTTAACTGCCAATACATATCAATAAGAGCATATCAATGAACATATAATAAAAATTTTGGATTGTATTAGCGACCCAACTTACATCACCACAACTTCAATAATTCACAACTAAAACATCTTCAATATATCAATCTATTTTATAACAGAGCATATAATAAACTTAACTTCCTAATTGCAAATTCATTTGAGTTGTTCACTTGGTTATCTGGTCAAGGTTTGACTAACCATCTTGTTATTATTAACATTTGAAATCATGAAAGACCTATAGGTATGTATTGCAATACCTTAATGACCTACCAACTACAGATCAAATTTCATTGGAAGTCTTTGACTTAAGACTGTGTCTGATTTATGGGAAGATTTTTGTGGGATGGGGAAGGATGAAATGGATCATGTGTAAGTGAAAATAGGTGGAAATTTTTCGTGTTCCATTGTTTGGTTGCAAAAGGGAAAGTAGTAGGAGAATCAACCCTAGTAATAATTATTAATTGATTAATTTGTAATGTTTTTATCATTTTTTTATTTTACTATTATTAATTATAAATATTTTTAATTAATTAATATTGATAATTATCTAATTAATTTTTCATTAAGAATTAATATTGTAAAATTTATTTTATTAATTTTTACTATGACTTAATTTGTAATATTATTTTTAATTATTTAATTGTTTTTATTGAATCACTAATTAGATTAATAATAAAATACTTTTTCTTTATTCATTATTTACATAATTAATTAATTATTAATTAGTGAATAATACTTTTTTATCATTTAGTATTTCATTATTAATTAGATATTAATTATTTAACATCCATAATTAGTTAGTTATTATTAATTAATATTTTACATTTTATTAGTTTATAAGTTACTATTAATATTATATTTTATTAATAACCATGACTTAATTATTATTCATAAATTATTAAATTAGTTTTCATTGATAAGTTATTTATGATAATTGATTTTAATGAAATTATTAATTATAAAATAATTATTAAATATTTTGTTGTTCATACTTATTTAATTAATAATATTTTTATGAATTAAATTTTATATTTAGTTATTAATTTTATATTAATTGTAACATTAATAAATATTTTAAGTTTTATTATTAATATTTTATTTTATTAATACTTATGACTTAATTAATAAATAATTAATTAAATTATTATTAGGGTTGATTTTTCCACTGTTTTCTCTTTTGCAACCAAACAATGGGATATGAAAAATTTCCACCCATCCTATCCTTTCCCATCCCACCAAAATCTTCCCACAAACCAAACACAACCTTAAATTAGAGACTTCCAATGAAATTTGATATGTAGTTGGTAGGCCATTAGGGTATTGCAATACATACCTGTAAGTCTTTTATGATTTCAAATTTTAATAATAACAAAATGGTTAATCAAACCTTGACCAATTAACCAAGTGAACAACTCGAATGAATTTTCAATTTAGCAGTTAAATTTATTACATGCTCTGATATGAAATCGTTGGATATATTAAAGATGTTTTAGTTGTGAATGCTCTTATTGATATATATTGAAGTTGTATTGATATATAAGTTGGGGTCTTTAGTCCAATCCAAAAAGTTTATTATATGTTCATTGATATATGCTCTTATTGATATGTATTGACAGTTAAGTTTATTATATGTTCATTGAACTTGCTATTAAATTGTTAAGAGAACCATTATAAAATCTTCTAATTATTGTATTGCACACTAATTGAAAAGCATGGATCTTTCATGTTTATCAAATTGCCAATAAGCAAAGAATCTTGAACATCTTAAAAAATTAGGCCCTGGTAACTAACAGCTCATCAAGTCAATTTTGGGTATTTAATGTTTGGATTCAGAAAAGGTTCTAGTATTAAATATGTTTAGCTCAACTTTCTTGGCCTTGTTGTTGGAGATCTTTGGTGTTTATGGTGATGGAGAGTTCAAGTGGTGTTTATTATAATTAACTACTATTGGTTTCGTTTGTTTTTAAGACTGTCTTGTGAAAAAAATAGAGAAGAGAAGCATCAATTTTCCACTTCCAGATCCTTTTCTCTGGCACACCCAATGTTGGGCAGCAGCCTTGGAGATTGGATAAGAGAGCTACTATCTCCTTCAATTCTCAGTTTTGTAAGTTCAACCTTGGATAAGAGGGTCGTTATCTCCTTCAACTCCTAGTTTGAGGTTGGACAACAGCCTTAGAAACCTATCTTCTAGAAGAAATCACGCCATACTGTTGAATATGTTGAAACATGATGAAAGCTTTTCATTGGTCCAATTGTATTCGCGCTTCCAGAGATGTCATATTGGACTGAGTTGTGTATGGAGACAATTACGAGCATCAAAGGGACCCTTGGACATGTATGTGTGAACACTGAACAGTGAATATGTATTGGACAATGATTTAAACGTAATAGAGTAACAATGTAGCTTGAGTCATCTAGAGAATTCATTCCAAGAATTGGTTGCTGCCGAACATATGACTGTGCCAGAAACATTTGGCAATTTTTTGGATGAAAATTCTTAGAATCCATTCTTTTCTGAAAGGATTCTGAGAATGAGAATCCCCATAATTGATGCCAAGGACCTTTGTCTCTTGGACATGAAGCTAGATTTATACTTAGCCTTTTTGTGTCAATTGAATTTGAATTTGTACAAAGGGTAGCTAGTTTTGTAGCTGGCTTGTTATATTGTACAGTCTTGTAGGGGATTATGGTGTAGAAGGAAAATCCTTTAGTGATCTAGTTGATTTTTTGCATAATGTTGCTACTATGCTAAGGGAAATAGATACCCAAGGATGTAAAGCTTATTTTTTATTTTTCCTTTTGTAATAAAAATTTCTTTTCTTTCCAAGAAAAAAGATTGATTAGTTTATTATTGACTTGCATGATATTTATGTGAAATATCCTTTTATAGTTTGTTGCTATTTTAATGTTTTTAGGGTCATTATCTATGTGATAACAAAGAACAACATGTTGAAAGAGGAAAGGAGAAGGCGAAAACAAAGAGTATGATCGTTTGTACAAATATGGACAAAAGATTTTGAAGAAGATGACTCTTGAAAAAGTCAAGACTTTCTTGTATGCAACTAATAGTCCAGATTACTTGTTCCTGATGGTATAAATCTTTGGTGTTTCAGCTAGTTGTAAGGGCCATTCTTGATCTAGACAAAGTGGAAACCTTTTTATGGATGTTCTGTTGGAAATTCAGGTTCATCTAGGGTGTAGGACATATTGTTGTAAGAGAGTCTTGTGGCTTATTCTGGTCCTAGTTGGTCTTACAAATTATGAAGCTTTTTGCCTTTTCCCTTCCTACTGTAGCCTAGATTGTTTTAGATGCATGAATGAGAAAAGGCTGGTTGAATGTGACTCCTTGGTGCTCTAAAATTTTGTGAAGGGAATCAAAGTGGGAATGTGGAATTTGTCTCATGATGTAACGAGTGCAAGTTACTGCTCTCTATTTGTCTCTGTAGTTTTAGTGTTTGAGTGAAGTGAGTTTAGTCAAGTCCTCTTGGGCATTTCTCTCTGGAGTCTGTTAAATTCAAATCCTGTTAAGGCTGTAAGAGATGTAGACTCATGAGTTACAGTGAACTCCTTAGACATGTCAGACTCAAGACTCTGATGTATCAAGGAAGAACCTGTTTCCTTTCTGGAAAGGTAGATGGGTTAGGTGGGGAAGGAACAGATGATTAATATGGAAGAGATGATAAATCTCATAGCATAGTATAGTATTGCAATGATAGAGTGTCATAGATTTTGCTACTAAGAATTTCTTATTTAAAAGTCTATTTGGATGGATAAGAGGTAGCAAAACACTTGTCAGAAGCCTAGTATTAAACTTGTCCACGTAGAGACCAGTGGGGAAGAAGTGACATGAAGAATCATTTGGAGGGATGCAAGATACAAGATTCTCTCTAGGGATGATTTTAAACTTGCCCTTTAGACAAAGGTAGAGAACAGCCATAAATTCTGTAAAGAAAAATCTTAAGTTTTATGTTATATTACTCAAGTTTGGTGATCTCTAGCTGTTCAATCCAGAATGCTTTTGGAGATTTATAAGAATGTCATGTTGTGTTCTAGGGATCATTTTTCAATCCAGAATTCTTGCCAACTATATATTACTCATCTCAACTGAACTCAAGAGATCTTTGTCCCAACTATATAGAATTGGCTACATGAATCCTTTTTCACCATTCTTCTGTGTGTGTTCCTGTTTGCATGATTTGGTGTGTGAGTGTGACCTTATTTATCTAAGTTTAGTCTGTATTGGAAGTGTTGATAAGTGGTTCTTAATCTATGAATCATGTCATGCATAATATGCTAAACTGAGGAAAATTTTCAGTTAACATAGAGATTCCATTTTCATCTTCACTGAAGTTTTACTCTTTCATCACCAAAAGACAACAATCAGTCTCAAACCTTTCCAAGGGAAACTAAGCTCCTTCATAGTTATTGGTAATTTATCCTTGTATTGATAACATGCTGCAGAATCTGTTGAATGACAATAAAAGTGAAATCATTAGTGATGGCAAGCACACGGGCTCAAAGGCAGTTGATCCTTCAAGATGAAAATCTGGGCATTTTCCATAAAGGTATTACAGCATGTTCATTATTGGTTGCATTTTATGTTGTCAACATGATGAATTTGGTTATCCATAGCCAGATTGAAAATTTCTTTTCTAGGGCCTGCTGTTGATGGGAGGAACATAAGTTCTAAAGTAACTATCAAGAAAGGCAAAGGGGGCTTTGGCAACCGGAAAGCTCTTGGCGACATTACCAACATATCATGTCCTCAAAAGGAGACATCATCAAAGAAGAAGAATCATCCAAAGGTTGAGTTCAATATAGCCGAGGAAGCATTTCTACATGACCACAGAAAATGCACAGAGAAGCAAGAAGCAGCAATGGACCATTATTTTTTGGACGCATTTCTTTTAGATCATGGTCATTACATGACTCTGACACATTAGTATTTATGGAGTGCTAGTAAATGAGTTTGTGCAACTGTTGTTAGTAGGGTGAAGATCAGGAGCATGGTTCAAAGTATTGATGCACTGAAGTGTCTAAAACAATCATTTCTCTTTGTTTTTTTAGTTTTGATCAGTGCCCATCTTATCACCGTTAATGCACACCTAGTATTATTATTTAACCCTGAAAGCTGATATGTATCATACAATGCAGTATGATACGCGTTTGATGCTTTCCAACCATGATTGGGGGGAGTTGACATGACAATGTTGGACATGTTTTTTCATGGGTCCCACCTTATCTCTGGGGTGAAGATGACTAAGAGTTGCATAAACTTGATTACTAGCATTTCTCTTGTTAGAATAGCATATATTTTGGTGTTTCCACATTTCTCTTGACTGTGTAAGCTATTCACTTGCAGATTTAATTTCTCCTGCCATATCCATGAAACCTAAACAAGCAGAGGTTTAGTATCCTTGAACGGATTCTGCAAATTTTTATTTTTGGTCTTTCTTTCAACATTCTCTACTTTTATATTTAATCTCCATGCTAAGTAATATACTTTGTTTTTTGTTGCAGACTATGTTGAAGAGTCCTCCTTGGTTACTGGAATTGGAGCTGGAGCCAGAACTGCCAGTGCCTGCATTACCTGTCTGGTTGGATTCTCCAATTCAATGGAACACTCCTTCCTCCCCTTTGCATTTTGAGCCAGTCGAATTTAGACTAAAGCCAGATGATGATATCAGTATTGGTTCGTAGGTTGCTCTAAGAATTTCTGCTTGGCATGCCATAGTGGTCTCTCAGTCATGAATGGCTATGAGCTCAGCTATCACTTCAAATTTAAGCCCCAGCAACTGCAGATACTAACTTAACAATCTCTTTTGCCTTGTCATGAACCGTGCATGGCACTTTAGCATTTTGAGTAGAAGCCAATATTACATTTCAAACTTGTGATCTTTGAACCTTCATTAGATCCATAGAATCATGATAAGATTGATAGGGTTCATTTAGAAACGTGAGTAAAAATGTCGTCGGTCAATTTTTCTTATTTGTGATTTCCTGGAAATTATACAAAGAGACCTTTTGTATTTCATACCTAGATGGGACATAATGCAGATGTTGCTTTGTATGAAGGCTTTTTTGAGCACCCCACTTTTTCTTTCTCTACAGCAATGAGTCTAAGCTAATAGACAGCAGTTCCTTTTGTTGCCGTTTTAATATTTTTAAAATGGCTCAATGGACGTGGATCAATGTATTAATAAATAATTTAGCACTCATAAATTAACATTGGATATGGAATTAAACAGAATAGAATGGAATAACAAAACTGGAAGAGTGGAACTAAGATGGAAGGTTGTATATTGAGAACAATACATGCTTGAGAGTGACGGAGCCATAAACGTGGGGGGTGAGTTTGTCTTTGAGTTTGAAATTCTCCATTTTCGGGGAGACGTGGAGTTTTCCACCGGACTTGTAAAAACCAAGCCTTTTCTCATTAATTGAATCACTTGAATTTAGTTATTTAATTCTTTTAAAAACCAAGCCTTTTCCAAAGTACTTTCAAGTAAGGTTCAAAATATTGATACGCCCGATACACCGGTATGGGTGTACCGGGTGAATCGATATTATTTTTTTTAGTTTTTTTTTCTGAAACCGGTTCAGGGGAGCCGGTTTAGGTCTCTTCCATCTCCTGAGTATCGGTGGGGTTCCAGAACGATATGTATCGGCCAATACGGGCCGATACGTGTCGATACTTCGAATATTGCTTTCAAGATTGATGTTACTTATGAATTATGATCCATTTACTAATCAAATGTATCTTGTTCGAATTTCCTAGCAACTAAACACTAGAAAATGAACTCACACATTTGGTCTCAGCAATCAAATGCAGGATGCAAAATTGTGAAAATAAATTTTCATTTCTCATCATCCTTTTTCGTCCCATCCTTTAGAGTGAAGAAGACCCAAACACGTCCAATATTAGAAAATCCCATTTCTGTTTTTCTTCACATACTAGAATACAAGTTGATTATTAGTAAATAGTAAGGGAGCGGATTGGGGTTGGTTCTACATGTCCAAGAAAGAAAATGAATTTCAACTTAATTAGTGAACAACAAGAAACGATTACATTTTATATGATAAAGCGTGAGTTCACGGGTGTTCAGTGGAAGCAAGAGTTTCCAGATAATTAAACTTATCTAGGGAAGACACCCATCTGATTAGAGCATGGTTTTTAAAAACGAACCAGTGACCAAACCGGTCAGGGTCTGGTTACCGGTTCAAACGATCCGACCGTTCGACTTGAATGGCCAGTCCATTGACAAAAAAATAAAAAAAAATTAAAAATTAGAAAATGGTCAAAACCGTTCGAACGGTTCAACGGTTTGAACGGTTAATCAACCGGTTCAACGGTTTACTGACCAAAATCAACAGTTTTGGGAGAAAAAACTATTTTGGAGGAAAATGGGTGACCGGTTCTCGGTTTTTCCGGTCTGATCCGGTTTTGAAAACAGTGGATTAGAGTGTTTGCTTCGGAACAAGACAAGCGAAAGCATCACTCTTCTACAGGCTCCATGACCAGCCTCCATCATCGTCGGTGACTCGGTGGTGCTCCTATGCTTTGCAGCATGGGCAGCTCTGATGCAGAGACCAATTTTGAACACCTTCGGAGGTATTGGTATCCTCACCTTTCAACTTCATCGCATAAATTCAGAGTTAATGGATTCAATTCGTGTAAATGATGCCAAAGACGCCTTCATCAGTTGATTAATTAGGATTATAATCCACATAAGAACATGGGTGTAGAATCCCGCTATGAATCTCAAGACCAACTGAGAAAAGTTATGATGGAGTTGATGTGGCCATATGACCTGCACAGATATACACAGGCACAGGCTTTTTAAAAGGGAGCTCATATTGACTTCTCTTTTTCTCCTTGATCTTCTATGGACCTAGGACATGGTGGCACAAGTAAGGGGATTTACATCCATAGTAAATGTTGCTTTGTATGAAAGCTTTTTTAAGCCCCCCACCCTACTTTAATATTTTTAAAATGGTTCAATAGACATGGATCAAAGTATTAATAAATAATTTAAGCACTCATAATTTAACAATGAATATGGAATTAAACAAAATGGAATACCAAAACGGAATTCATGTGCCTGGGATAAGGCTTGGATTATGATGACGAAAGGTGGTCCAAGTTCTTTAGACATGAGAATGGGCAAGTTGTGGGATCTCAAACCAATCTGAGTCCTGTTCCTGTAAACCATATTTAGCAAGACCACATTCCCCTACCATGCATATTTTGTATCTCAAGTCATAAATCATGTTTTATGTCACTTTGCCAACGACAACCATATAGCATATGCCTTCCAAATGTCAACGTCATTTTTAGTATCCCTCAACATAGGAAAAGGGCTCAGCATTGAACTGCTGAGAATTGTCTACCGTGCTACCCCTGATATGAGGTACTTTGAAATGAAATGTAGGAAACAGGGCAATTTTTCCCTAGACTGTAAAAAATTGATCCCATCCAAAAAAAACTACCGACTCTGATGAGTTGAGTAAATAGTACAGCCAATACACTCAACTAAATGCTACTTGAATCTGTAACATTAAGATCATCTAAATTAAATGCTGTTGTTCCTGGGACTCAAATTTCTGTATACTGTGAACTATGTCCTTAACTTTTTCAGATAAGTGGTGAGTGTGTTCTTCAATATCTTTCAAAACCATGTCCAGATGTTCCCGATATACTGTGCACTTTTTGTTTGCCCGATGAAGCTGGTATGATAGTTCACGGATTTTCTTTGCATCCTCCTATATAACAAGAGAGATACAATAAGAGTTAGTCTACATGATGAGAATGACTGGTCATATGATTCATTAACTGGAGCATGTCAGGTCTCAAGAAGGGGAAGAAGAAAGGATAGCTCAATCCAAAACCAGCCTAAAGAGTTCAGTTGTAGGGAGCAGAGGTGATTCCATATCTGCAATATATCCACTGGCGATCCAAACACCAGCATAAAAGAGTGGATATTTGTTAAAAGTTTCAAAAAAGAGATAGGAACAATCAAGAGTTGCTGATAGTCCTGGCGTTACTAGAGAGATCAATCAGATAAACCTTCTTTTATTCATAAAACCAATCAGATAAACCTTCCACATAATGTATTATGTGCCAAAATGTGAATAATGGCTAATTCCCATTTTCCAACCATAATTGTTTGACGAGGACATGTCTTTGTTGTGTTGCAGCATATTTGGTCATTATGACCAGATTTGATGTATAAATTAATAATGGGTCAATAAGTTAGTCATGACACTATTTTCTTCAATTAATTCTTCCTTTTCTTTTTCCTTTTTGTGGAACTCTAATGATTAAATTGCAAGATGTAAAGACCAACTTCCAATCATGTAGTAACTTCTGGGAAGAAATAAATGCATCTCCTATGATCTATCATGACACAATGACATACAACTTTCATACATCAAAAGATAAGCTGCAGATTCAATGGACCAAATCTTCCAAGCAATACGATATGATGCTTTAAGGCTATTGTGGCTTTGCTCAAATGCTAAAGAAGAGTGAGGAAGATAAACGAAGACTCAAGTCTTAATAGGTCCAAGTGAACATTGTGGTCCAAAAGCCCATGCATAACTTGTTGAATCTGTTTTCATCTCAAAGATAACACGAATCAGGTGGTAGGAAGATTATTTTTTGTGAGCAAGAAATCTTTTTATTAAAATAATAAAGGAGAAAAAGTATACAAGAAGTCTACTGGCTTTGTCAACCGGACTACATACCCCAAAACATCATTACTCTGAAAACCTGAATTGGCAGCCACTGAAAATATGCCGTCTTCCAAAATGTGGATAGAAGAAATATACGATCAGCCCAAAAAGTTCAATCTTAACACTAACACCCCAAACCCATTATCTAACTAATCAAAACTCTTTTACACTCCAATTCCCTAGACTACCTTTCAAAAATAACCCAAAATTTCCAAAGAAAACCATTGCCTGGAGCCCTGGACTCTTAACTCAGCCAAATCATCAATAAAATTATTTCCACAATGAAAACTGGAATCCACAAAAGTCTTACTAGAATTTTTAAAGTGCTTCCTTTTTTCAGTTTCATAAAGATTTTCATGGCAAATTTCTTTCCACCCAGAATGAAACAGATACAGACTCTTGCCAACCTGTACTTCATTATCAACCACCCTATTCAAATTTCAAATCCTTGGTTTTTACCTTAAAAACATCATCCATCAGAGAAACAAGATCAGCACCTTGTATGTCCCTCATATCCTCAATATTTTTCCAGTTAACATCAACCTTTACTAGCTTAAAATTGAAAGAATGGACTATGTGCAAGCAGGAAAACCCAAGATAGCCAGCTCACCACCACCACAGCATCACATTCAACCATAATATTTCTTAGATTTAACAACTTGCCAATTCTTAACCCTTATAATAATGCTAAAAGTTCTGCTTTTGAAGAGTTTCCTTGACCAACCAGACCCAAATATAGTGCTACTATAGTACCATTTTGGTCCCCCTAAACACTCCACCAATACCTGACAGTCCCAGGTCCAATGCAGCCATCTAAGTTCAGTTTTATGTAGTTATTGCTAGGTGGTTCCCATTGTGTCTGAATCACAACCCTTGAAGTCAGAGGAATACCACCCTCTGAAGAGTTCATCCATAGAAAATGGTGCAAAAATGTCCAATGCCCTTGCCCAACATACACTTTGACTGTGATACTTTCAATAATATCTTACTTTATAATGCATCTTCTCCTTGCCACAAGGCCCAAAGCACTGCCATTATTGCACACCTCCACAAGATTTCCCCCTTCATCGAGGCACCAAGATGTCAGGTTAAACAAGATAATAACATCCATTGGAAGATCCCACCTACAACCAAAAAGAAAAAGAAACCATCTCCAAAAACTAGAAACAAACAAGTACGAGATTAGTAAGTAGAATAATAGTTAATCACTTACATTACAAAGAAAACACCTTCCAACAGTGTGGAGATATGCACCGGTTTAATCTTCTTTAGCACATCAAAAGTGTTGGTTTTCTCATGAAACACCTTCCAACAGAAAGCTCTTATCTTAGGAGGCACCAGTATACTCCAAATTTCTTTCACCAAAAAACGTTGAGGAACAGGAGAAAAAAAAAAACAGGAGTAGAATAAGAAAGGACTGAAAAAAAAAAAAAGATGCATATGGGTACAGCCCCAAGGAACTGGTTTTCCAAATCCTACAATCCAGTTTAGACACAATAAAGACACAAAGTCACAATTGATCCCCTGAGTAGCATATTTAGAAGTTGAGTGACAGGTTTGGATTTTTTTTATTTTTTGAAAAAAGGTAAGGTAATTTTATTTAGAAACAATATAACATAAAGCAGGGAGGGAAACAAAGCCATCCCTCCCAGGAAAAAGATCAAATCTCCCACAGGTTTGGATTTATAAGATGATAAAGAATGGAGGGTTGGGATTGGTCTTTCAAGTGTCTATCAACCACCCACACGTCCTCCCAAAATTCTCTTATTCCTCCACCAGTAGGAATTGTAGCAGATTCGATTAAGGAATTTGGACCAAGAAGTGGAAGAGTGTATTCTGTTATTGGAAAAGTTAAAAGAGACAAACATTTCTAGAGCTACAGCAGATGGATTATGGTGGAAAGAATGCAGAGAAGGAAGATTCTCAGTTAAATCCCTCTACAAGGCTTTACTGAGAGATGGTAGGGATTCAGAGTTCAGACCAGGTAAAAGGAGTGTGGGGTAACCCAGCACCCACAAGGGTAGAAACTTTTGCTTGGCTGGTGGCGCAGCACAGTATTTTAACCTATGATCACTTGAAATCCAGAGGCTTGCAGCTAGCAAACTATTGCTATATGTGTAACCAGGAGGAAGAAATAGCCATCTATTTATTCTTCTCTTGTAGTGTGGCAAACTTCATGTATAAGTGTTTCTCCTTCCTGTTTGGGGAGAATGTCTTTCATCCTTTGGTCCCAGAAGTGTCATTCTCCGAGTGGCCAAAAATCAGAGGAAGCAAGAAGGCCAAAATCCTGTGGAGCTGTATTCCATTCGCAGTATGCTGGTCCATCTGGAAAGAGATAAAAAGAAGGGTCTTTGAGGACAAGGCAAAGAATGTTGAATATTTGTTAGCAGGAGTGAGCAACTCGATTGCAGCTTGGGCTATTAGTCTTCCAAAGTTCGACCAAGTAAATAAGTCTGATCTGCTAGAGAATTTCTGGAGCACTCTGGAGTTGAAACCTTGTAATTTTGAGTCTTTTACAGTGTAATTTCTGATTAGTAGTTGGTTTGTCAATTAGACAACCATCTTCCTGAGATGTACTGCTTTTTTTTCAGTTTTGATGAAATTTCTTTTTTATCCTTAAAAAGAAGTTTTCAGCATTGCAACTTTTTTTTGAAGAGGATAAAGGTAATTTTATTAAAAAGGAAAAAGAGAAAAGTATACAAGATGTATATGGAGGGGCCCCTACACTCAAGACAAGGGAGCTCTCTCAACCAAAACAAACCATGAACAAAACAACCAAACCCAACAAGCATAAAACACCTATAACACCAAGACCAAACACTACATTTAAAACCAAATAAAGCCTAGCCAATGCCCATGAATAGGTAAGGCGACCCGAGAAACCCGTTCAACTAGTTCTGTGAAGACAAAACAGTGAAGCCACCGACAAGGGGAAGACGGAAGGCCCAAGAAAATTACATCAAGGCTACAGATCTTCCTCTACCCTTAATGCTACGCTCCTTTCCAGCCCTAATTCTGATACTGCCGTACTGGAATGCTTTACTACCTTTATGTCATAAAAATGCTCGAGAAGTTTCAACTTCCTACAGCCTGGAAGGTAATCCAAGCTGCCAGAAGACCATTCTGATCCACAGCTCTCAGATTTAGGCTCGTCTTCGGAGACCGAACTACAGTCCACATCTGAAGGGATTGTAGGGACCAAACCGAGTTCTCTTTATTATCAATAACTCTGAAAAGATTTCATTAATTAGAAGAGCAGGCTCAGGAGTGGATTAAGGCAAGAGAACTCATTTTGGTTTTGGCACACTTTTAATTCTGGACCAAAACGAGTTCTCTTGCCTTAATTCACTCCCGAACCTGCTCTTCTTGACCCATGGCAAAAGACACCCCCAGCAACTTCCCAAAGCTCATTGTATCCTCAACACGGTTATCAACTCCTTTAAGGATCGATTACTCAACTGTCGGGTCTAACCTCGTGCATGCGCCATCACTAACTGAACTAGGCACTGGGAGCGGACTGAGAGAGAGTACACTTGATGCATCCCCCAAGCTAGATTGATTTGAGGGAAAGTCAGGAGAGAACGTATTGGTAGCTGGCCCTAGAATGGGCTTCAGCCTATGCCAAATGGTTCCCAATGGAATCAAAGCTTGTGACTCCACACAAGGGGGGTCCAGTAGTGTTGGTGAGAGTGGGCCAGCACCCAGAGAATGGGCCCCCACATAATACCATGAAGAGCTCCAAAACAGTAGGCCAATTGACCCTGAATCCCTGGGTGGGCTCGAGACCACACACAAAGGCCCACCTTCCAGATTCACAAGAGTCTTCTTCCCAAAACACAGCCGCTCATGTTCGAATTTAAAAATCCTGCCAAAAACGCAGCTGCCGAAGGAGGAGCTATTGACAGTGGAACGATCTGAAGATTCGCCACTGGTAGAGAGTTTGAACGCCCGGCGGGAGAAGGAACAGCCCCTGCACCACCATTGGAGGTAGTCCGTGGCGATACTTGACCGTGACGCCACATGACGTTTTCTGCATCGTCGTTTGGAGCCGATGGTGTCTATAGAAGCGGGGGTTTCTTTATACATGGCAGAACTCACCGTCGTCACTTGTTGAGGAACCCGGCCTTCACCTGTGCCTGCATCCTGGTATGCTTGTTCTTGGGTGACAGTGGCTCCCCTATTTAACTCACTATGGTTCAAACAAGGTAAAACAGAGCACCACTCCCCTGCTTCAAAAACACAATCTTCCACCACTAAATGAAACAAGTAACTGCTGTTCAAGGCGTCTAAAACAAAAAATTTTGGGATGTCTTGAACCGATCTGCTCCAAATCATTATCCGCAGAGAGTTGATCTTGCTCCAGTTTAGGTTGTTTGAATCTGCTTCGATAAAACCGCCGCAAGCATTGCCCATCTCTTTAAACACTGAGGGGCAACATACATGGAGAGGTGCCGCAAAAACTCTAACCCACCAGCGCCCATAACCAACAGCTTGCCTTTCACTGCAACCAAATGAACTCCATTTGGACAGAGCCATGTGAGAGCCGTTGAACCAGGACTTACCAGAGTGCAAAGCTCCGATCACTTCCAACTCTGTAGGAAATATTAGGAGCGCTTTATTTCCTTCCAACTGTCTTGCGTGCATCTTTCCCGGTATCCCCCACAACCAAGAGGCCCAGTTCTCCACCTCCTTGGGTGAAGGACAGAGCCCTGGAAAGCCAGCTATTAGACATTGCCAAGGCGGTGGGTGCTCTCAGCGGTGAAGGACGCTCTCAGCAGTGGATGAAGAAGAACAGTTGAAGAAGAAATATACTTTGCTCTTAAACCTATCAACTTATTATACTTTTTAGTAGGAAATATGACTAAGGCCTGAGATGTTATGTGGGAATAATGTGTCAAGGTTAATGAAAATAATAACTTGCATGTAAGGTGCAAGTACTGTAATAGCGAATTTTGGTGAGGTAATTTTAGGAAGAAACACCACCAATATACACAAAAAAAAAAATCAAGCATGCAAAAAAGAATCCAGATTAAGTATATGAAAAATTCAAGGTAAGGCTAGAAAATAAGGAATGAAGAAACAAAAAGAGAAGTATGAATCTAATGCTAGTGCAAATACAAGGGATTTTAATTTTAAAGATGAATGAAAATTGGAAGATCTTATAAGAAAGCATAAGGCTTTAGACACTGCTGATGTTTATGTGCTAAAGGGCACATAAAAAATAGATGCCTATGTGCCGAAGGGCAAAAAGGTCATCAGCAATAAATCTTGAAAGTGTGGAAGAAAGGAGATAGAGAAAAAGTTTGCCAATGTATCATGTAGTTTTCTATACAAATGTATTATCATTTGATCTTGTGAAAAGTCCTTTTTTCTGTTCAAATGGCCAACATTAGTCCATTTGGGCTGGAACTTAAACTATCAGGTCATCATGAAATAAGAAGTACTCTTCTTAAGAAGGAGCTGAATATTGTTATAAAATGATTTAAAGGTGTAAGTAGTGGAGGAAGGTCAGATGCACAGTTACAGTGGACGGATGAACTAGTGGATGTAGAAGGTCCATTACGAACTTCTTAATGAACAACCCAAATGGAACTATATTTTTAACATCTATGAGCACTTTACTGTTCAAGTTGTTCAAGTTGCTTGAATCAGTTGTAATTCTCTATTTATTGGACATAGGGGCAGTAGAGTGAGGTGCCACCATAATCAGCTGGTTCTTTCTCTCTTCTAATCAGCTATCTTTCTTCTTTCTTTACCTTCTACTCTTCACACCCAACCATGTTATCTGTCATATATCAGATTCCTCCTCCTCATTCTTCTATTCTTCTTCTTTATTGTTTTATTTTTTGGAAAGATTATAATTAGATCTTCTTCCTGGACTGATTGCATGTCCAGGTCTTATTTCTCTTAATTTTTTCTTGGTCATAAGTCCAAGAAATTTTCTTTAGTAGATTATTTTTTGATAAGTAAAATAAAAATTCATTAAAATAAAAGAACATGAATTGTTAGTGATAAGGCATCACCTGCTTACATGATAGAGAAAAAAAAGAAGATGCCCAGATTCAATGGCTCTACAATGTTTTCCTCATGAAAACTTCAGATTGCAAGGTATAAAGATGAATTTTGCAGCATTGGTCGATGAAAGGAATGAATCTAGGGCAATCAGAGTAGTTACAGCCATGGTTTGTAATATTGGTGATATTTGGCAAAATTTCCCCGAAATATCCCCATTTTGCTAGGTGGTAATACAAAATTTTCAGGAAACTTATTTTTTTTCAAATATTTTCCAATATTTTGCCGATATGTTGGCGATAGATTTCATTAATAGACTATATTTTTAAGGTTCAAAATTTCAGAATATCATTGAAAATTTTTGTATATTTCATTAAAATCATCATATTTTTTTTAAATGTCTTTCTTAAAATAACAAATAGGGAATTGGTGATTGAATAGTTGGATTACTATTTTTGATACAAATCATTACTAAGTCATTATGATTCAAAAGAAAAGAAAAATGCATATATCTATAAAAGAGTATTCTCAATCTAATCAAAACATGTTGTAACAAAAAAGAGAAAAGTCAAAATGGAAAGGAAGTGACATAATTAATGGAGAAAATATGGCTAAAAAATGAAAAGGGAGACTGAGAAATATACCTATTAAAATCTCTTATTTTCCCCTATTTGATTTATATGGTCTTTTGTCGTGGTTTTTTAGGTCTTAAATGTGCAATTATACTTCTAATGATTCCTTGAAGGTTTATTAACTAATTCCATGTTTCTAGAAAACTTTTTTTGACTTTTTTAGATTTTCTCAAATATCTTAGAGAAATTAGTGAAATATCCCTGATCTCTCCATCTCTACATGGTGAAATGTCCATCAATATCAGAATTGCAAACCATGGTTACAACATGCCCCCAGTGTAGTCTAATGGAATCAGCATTGGAAGTGGACTAGAATTGATGACTGCAAGCAATCCATGGGCCTGGGGATGGTCCATCTCCACTGATGAATTTATACATTTAAGGCACTTTGCAATATAAATACAAACCACACCTTACCTTTTCAAAAATGAAAAATACAGCCACTGAATTTGAAATTTCTCTTTGAGGTAAGAAAACATTAAATTCATAGCTTCAGCTTGTTCGGTACATATAGCATTGGAGTAGAATCCATTATTTCTGTGTCAATACTAGGTTGCCTTTACAGATTAAAAGAGAGTTTACTAAAGTCATATTTCTACATTAAGTACTATAATAAAAACACAAAGATAAAAGAACTCACCGCAGATCGATTCTGAAGAGAACCACGACGAACCTTTGAAGAAATTAGTAGTGGATGATTATGGTCCTTCTCAAATTTTGAGATAATCCATTTCCCAGGCTTTTCTCGTTTTAGGTTGACCATTGCCTTGCAGCCTTCCCTCGTCACTGCAAGTGGCCTCTTAATTTTCCCTTTCTTAAAACCTTCTTTATTACATACAAGTCTCCGTGAAATAACAGCCCCATCAATCTTTGAACGACAGTATGTGCTTACTCGAGTGACAAATCCAACACGCCTGGCATAGGCCTCATAGAATGCCTTGGCAGTCTCTTCTGACTCAAATGCCATACCCTCATAAGGTTCCAGATTTTCATCTCTTTCATGTGCAACTGGCCCAGTTCCTGCGGGATTTTCTATCACTTCGCCATCCTCACCCACATGAGGATGCCTTATGATGGAGCTCTCTATCATCTCTCCTTCATGAAGATCCCTTCCCAGGGAATTCTCTATCATCTCATCATTGTCACTCATAGGAGATCCAAGGTCCACTACCAAAAAAATATAATAGCAACCATTATATTTCAAAAGCAGATATAATACTCTTTCAACGTTAAATGTTCTGGAGGTTACCCAAAAAAATGTAAAATATTTCGAAACAACAACAAATTTTATCAAACAGTTGGTATGTGCACTGATGCAGACATGAATGCGCAGGAAATCAATTTTTTTTTAAATCCCGCAATCGACTAGTTGGGTGCTTTTCATAGCTAGAAGGAATTTAAAAGATTTTTATTTTGGCTTTCACTGAACTGAAATGCATGAGTTCATCATCTAACATGGAATCATTTTACAGGAACGTCACTTCAAATTCAAATGAGCCCATTTGGGGACTTCAAGAAGTGAACCCTTTTGTACCTTCCATTAGCTTTCCGGTGATTTCTCGACACTAGATGATCAACCCATGTTTCCAAATAATATAAAAAGACGAAAATGCAATGGTTTAAGTCCACTTGGCTTCGAAAAACACACTTGAAGAATGACAGGTGATTAAATGCGAAACTGCAGAAGCCAATGTGATATTCAATCGCTTACACTAGGTACCTTGAACTATATTAGTATTATTCTGCTTCATACAAGAGTTGGAATCGATTGCAGAAATGGATTAAGAAGTTATTAAAAATTTTAAATTTCTTATCCCCCTATCTCAAAAACGAGTTAGCTTTTTCCCGGTAACAGATGAAGAGAAGATAACTAAAACTTACTTGATTTCTTCTAATTGGTGGTTCTTTGTTGACTGGTTTTTCCCCTCAAATGGAGCCAGAGAAAGAGATTCTTAGGGTTTGGGATTAATAGGAAACGCCGAAACGGAGTGTGCATTACGAAGGCTACAGGTGAACTGGTGAGAAATTACCAAGGCTATACGTGACACGTAGAAGGAATGGTTCTTTTCCCGGGAGGATGTTTGGATTTTCTCCCTTCTTTCCTTTTCCTTTATCTTCTTTTCCTCTTTCTTTTCCTTTACTTTCTTTTTCTTTTCTTTTCTTTTCTTTTCCTTCCTGGTTCTGATTTTCCCGACCCAAAAATTCTAGGCTTGAGCATGGATTTTGTGTTCAGCTTTGGCCCGGGTCTACATCAAGTCCACAAATTTTAGGGCTAGGCCCTGGCCTGATCCACATATATTTAAGCATACACATTTTTATGTATAATTTATATATATACACATGTTATTTTATATTATACTGTATATTTTATATATAAATATTACAATATGACACTTATCATTTATATTATATATAATATTTTGTATTATATAATGTATAAATAAGTTTATATGCATGTTATATGTCATTTAATATAAAATATTATATATATGTAATATTTCATATGTGAAAGACATAGATCTGGAATCAAGCCCACCTAGGCCCAGGCTTAGGTTAGCCCTTATCATATGTGCAAAGCCCAGCCTAAGCCCAACCCAGTTCACATTCACCCCTAGGTTAAGGAGGCTCTAATACCATTTCAAGGAACCATTTATCTTAAAAGCTTAAGTTGTTAGGTGAGATTTTTGAATAGGCTTTTTGTTCTCTAACAAACTGGGCCAAATGGGGTTAAATCTGCTTCTGATCCAATTATTAATTGATGCAAGTTCTAGCATCCGAATTTGACATAATTGGATTTAGGGTTAAATACGATATCTGACTTTCAGAGTCCATTGATAGCCTTATTGTTATGAAGTCTTCTTTGTTCTTAGTGAGTCTCAGTGATAGCCTTATTGTTATGAAGTCTTCTTTGTTTTCTAATGAATATTTATTTTTTCATATCATATTGTGCATTTTGATGCATGGGGTCCATGCTTTTATTGATAATACTATTCTTAATACACGGATATATTTACTTTAATTCACTTGAAGAATTTACATAAGGAAATAAAAACTTCTCTTATATGATCTATACTCAATTTTATGTGGATGTTTAGATTTTCCAATTAGATAATGTGAAACAGTTTATCAAAGGTGTGACTAATTCTTTCATATAAACATATATCATAATTCTTATTGTAAGACACCTCAATAAAATAGTATAGCTAAATGGAAAAATAGACATTTTGTTGAAAATGGTTTAAAGCCTACTATTGCAAATGCTTGGCAAGATCCTCCAATACAAGGTCTTTTATAAGCTTTTTTATCCTAAAAGCTCTTCTCTTTTGGTCTTTGGGTGCGGTAAACTTGAATACAAGTTTATTTATTGTGTTTTCTTAGGTACCCTTTGTCTCAAAAGGGGTATAAACATTATGCCATTGAGTGATTTAAGTTTTATGTTTCGTTAGATGAACCCCAATCTTACTTTTCTATTTCTCTTTAGGGAGAGATTTGTGGTGATGATAGATGAGTTTAATTTCCTAGATCTAGTTTGGTTTCTACTCCTTTTGTCCTTAGTTCTCATTCTCATACCAGTTTGTCTTATCTAGACTTATTCACAGCATGGGCTTCAAGCTCGACCTATGGACGTTTTACACTATTTTAGGCTTGGGCTTTGGGCTAAGCCCATTCAAATTTTGGCATAATCTAACCTCAAACTTGGACCACAAACAAGTCTAGTCTCATCCTCAGTAGGCCATTTAATTTATCCTCTTCATGTTTTTTCTCATTATCATCATCATTAGGAGGTCCAATATGCATTTAAGGTGTAAAGCAACCAGAAGCTATGCAGTCAATGCCAATGGGCCGATCCTTAGGAGGCAAATCCACATTATAATCCATCTTCTTCCAAGCTAATATAATTCCTTTGCCTTCACCTCTTGTCATTGACGACCTTGATATTCTTATTGCCCAATACAAGGGTGTCATATCATATATAACTAAGTGCACTATATTAGAAAAGATTAATGCCATATGCAAGAACATGTTGAAACTAATTGATTTTCTTGAAGGAAAAGAGCCTAAGTTAAGTGGGTCTATACTATAAGAGAAAATTCCCGATAGGTACCTTGTACTTTAGGTCGAGTATCAATTTAGTACCTGAACTTTAAAATGTGACAATTTAGTACCCGAACTTTCGAAATGCAACAATCTAGTACTTGTTGTTAACTAGTCATTAAGTGTCATGAAAAAAGACATAATTACCCTTCAAGTGTCATCTAATTTTCTTTATCAACCTTTTGTTAATAAAGCAACAACGATCTCAACTTCTCACTAACCAAACCAAGACTGGATTTCCTACACTCGTTTGGTATGTGCCGAGGTGCACTTCTAATGAGATTGGAATACATTGATGTTCCATTTCTTCTTCCCTCTCCTTTGTTCCTCCCCTGTTGGAAAATGGGGTCACTGTAACTTTGGAGGAGAACCTCTGAGGCGCGTCTAAAGACACTGTCTTTAGAAGGTTATTTGCCCCCACTCAGTTTCACCGAGTTTGCTGTTGGGTTACAGGCAAATCCGTTCCCAGGATACAACAAAGCCTTAGGCGAGAATCTGCAACCAGCAAAGTTGAAGAATCTCTGAAGAAACCTTCTGTGAGACTATAGCAGACCGGACTGAGAGAGAGAGAAAGTGGATTTTGAAATTGTGTGTTTTTGAAGTCTAATTCATGCTCCTTAAATAATTTATGAAGAGGTATGAAGAAAAGGTAGGTGCTGGTTTAGAGAAGGCACCTTGAATAGTCACAATTTCAAACATTGTGACTATTTAAAATAATGATTGTTAACTCCGTTGATCTCATCAACGATGATCAACGGTCAGCATCGCACTAAAACCAAAGCCGCCCTTTGCGAGCCACGCGGGTGCGGGCAAAGTGCACTTGCCTCATTGCGCTGCACACACACTTTCGCGCGCGTTGTGCAATATCAAACCCCCATACTCTCCTCTACTATTTCTAAGGAGTATAAATCATCTCCTATTAAAATACTGAAAACAAAGCTTATAATTTTCCAATGTGGGACAAGTTCAAAACTGGGTATTGTAAGAGAAAAACTAATTTTTCAAAGTGTGAATGTGCAATTTCTCATGTAATTGACCAATCAAACCCATTAAATTTAATCTCTTATGAGATTAAAATCCAACATCCCCTCCTCCCTCCTCTATGTTACAAGAAATGAAAACAGATAGTTTTCTGCATGGGCTATGGGCTCATTAGAAACACATACAAATAGTCAAAATGAGAAACTTGATGTCCTGAGTTTTCTTCGTGGGTTATGGGCTATGGGGGAGGTTCATTAGAAATACAAATAGTCAAACTACAAGCCATTAGAAATTCAAATAGAAAACTTAGGTTCTGACGAAGAAGAAAACTCAGGGCATCAACTGAGGGGCGTTTGACTAACTGCGTCAAGAAGAAAACTGCAGTTTGTATTTCTAATAGCTTGCGTTTGACTAACTGCGTCAACTGAGGGGCGGCTCTAACGAAGCGCCTTGATGTCCTGAGAGGCGGTTCATTACAGAGAGTTTTCTTCTTCGTCAACTGCAAGCCCTTTCTGCTGCCTTGATGTTCGTGTTGCCATGTTTCGCGGCAGAGAGTGCGTACAAGATATGATGGTACAGCTCCAGGGCCACTCGAATTCCATTCTTGGGTAACGTTTACGTGAGCGATGCCTTGGCATGTACGTTGGAGTTGTGTTCGTGGCTCTACCGGACCTCCATCTTCTTCCTCGTCTGCGTTCTCTTCCGCCTCTTTTGCTACCTCCAGATTCTCAGGAGTCAGGATTCAAGACTTTGCCCAAGTGTTCCTTTGTTCCATTTCATGGTCAACGATTTCATAGTCAACGAACGCCCTTTTTTCTCTCTCCTCTTCCACAGTTCCTGTTCCGCTTCCGCTGTAGTTCTCTTTCTCTCTCTTGATTAGGAGTATCAAGCGTGGGCCATGGTGGCAGCTACGGTGATGAACTAAGAACACCACCCCTCCCATTTGCCATGATGGCGGCTAGCGGTGAACCTTGGTCTTGTGTTTTCATCATGAAATGATGATCTTGAGAGATTGGCTTGGGCTTTGTTTCATTTTTTTAAGAAAGAAGATGATGAATAGTGTGTTTTATTTTCAAGGGTAATTTTGGTATTTTCAAAAGTCTTAAATTGCACATGAAGTCACATGATATACATAATTGACGGTCCAGTAACGATAAGTACTAGATTGTTGCATTTCAAAAGCTCGGATACTAGATTGTCACATTTTACAGTTCAGGTACTAAATTGGCACTTGGCCTAAAGTACATGGTACCTATCGGGAATTTTCCCTTACTATAAAGCATAGAGCTGATAAGTCCATCGAGAGATATAAGGCAAGGCTTTTAGCTTAAGGCTTTATATATTGTATAGTGTATATTATACAAAGACCTTTGCTTCTATTGCAAAGATGAATATATGGTTTTTATATCTTTGGTAGCCAACTTTAGATGTATAAGTTGATGTGAAGAATGTCTTTTTGAATGAAAACTTAAAAGAAGTGTATATGATACAACCTCTAGGTTTTCAATTAAAGGGTAGTTAAGGGAATGTTTGTCACCTTAAGAAGTCTTTTGTATAGGTTGAAGCAATCACGAATTCATGATGTACTTGATTTGGCTTATTTAACCAAGCAATTTAGCAAATGGGGTTTAAGTAGTGTTAGACTATACTATGTTTGTGAACAGGGAACACAAGAAAATAATTGTCATCATAGGTGATTGGGAGATAAAGATTTATAAGTTGAAATAGTTTCTTTCCTCTCACTTGGTGAAGGAAAGACATCATTTTCCAAAGGAAATATGTCTTAGATCTATGATGTAAGTAAGTTTGGATATAAACTGGTTGAGACTCCTATTGAGTCCATTCACATGTTAGGAGATTGTGGGGGATATTGTTGTTGAAGCTAGAAAGTTCAGAAGACTTGTTGGTTGGTTGTTGTAAATCTCCATGACCCCACCAAACATTTCTTATATTGTTCTTGTACTCAATCAACATATGCATTTTCTAAAATA